CCATGATTTCTTTTTGTCCCATTATTTTTTCTCATTTTAATGCTCAACCTGGAAAAGTGGATCGGCTTGCTTTGTGCAAATGTTGTTTTTATTGAAAACAACATTGGCATATACTGTAGTGTTCAATTTCACACTAACATTCTCACGTGGAGCAAATAATCTCTCACACAATGTAACACTGTCCATCAATAAAAGGGTGAAAAAAATACTTTGTCACACAAACAGCCCCTTCAACAGCCCTTTCTAAGGGATCAAAACAGGGCGATACAAAATAAAGAAAACTACAAAGTGTGCTAGGCGTTAATCTCACGATAAAATTGACGCCGTTAAAATGGGTTTGCATTAACGCCGTTAATAACGCGTTAAAATGACAGCACTACTTTTTAATATTATGTCATGTATGCAGCTTGCATGGTTTTCTACAATATGCTACAAATGAATATAAGCAAGATCCAGAATGATATGTTTAATTGGCTTTTTTCACAGAAGTCACGTTGAAACCTGATAGTAGGAAAAGCAGGTGTGAATAATAAAGTTAATCTTTTCAGGGTGCTGGTATTGTTCATACTGGCTCACTGCCACAGTGTCATATCAATGGGACACTTGAATAGGGCAGAGGCAATATTAGTGTTAGTGTTAGTGCTGCTTGAAAACAACCTATGCTGCTGAGTCCAAAAATTAAGAAGACAGTTTAAATGCTTTTCACTATTTTAGACCTTCACGTCTATGGAAACATTCATATATTACTAACACAACATGTATCGAACACTTATAATCAGAGAAGTCACAATAAAGTCTAATTGAATTGCCTCTTTACCAAACTGCATAGATACATTTAAATAACTGAAAGGTCCAGTAGGTAGAATTCAGTGGCATCCAGTGGTGTAGTAGCACATCACAACTCCCTTGCGTCACTCTCCTCATTCAGGCATGTAGGAGAAACTATGGTGGCATCTAGTGGTGAAATTGCAGATTGCAACCATTTGAATAAAGCTCGCCATCCAGGCATGTAGGAGAAACTACAGTGGCTGCGAAAAATGTGAAAGGCCCTATCCATATACCAGTGTTTGGTTTATCTGTTTTTGACTACTGTAGATACACCATAGAAGAGGACCCGCACCCTCTGTAGATAAAACCACTTTGGTCTAGACTGAAATATTACAACAACTTATTGTTAGGATTGCCATGACATGTTCATGGATCCCAGGGGATATATCCTAATGACTATGATCCTCTGACTTTTCATCTAGCTCTATCATCAGGTGAATATTTTAATTTGTCTGATACTTTTTAAATTTTGATCAGATACCTGCAAAACTAAGGACATTCCCATCAATTGAAAATAAGAGCCTGGAGGCCATCTTGATTTTAAGGTGTGTAAGAAAACTTAAACTTAACATACTTAAAAATATGTAGAGTAGACCTGTGTCTCAGAATTTCATGCATTTCTTTTTTTTTGAAGTATTTTTTGGGGCTTTTATTGCCTTTTATTGATAATGACAGCCAAAGATTGACAGGAAAAGGGGGCAGAGAGAGAGGGGATGACACGCAGCAAAGAGCATGGTCAGATTCGAACCCTGGGCCGCTGCAGCAGGGACTCAGCCTCGGTACATGGGATGCCAGCTCTACCAACTGAGCTAACCAAGCGCCCCATTTCATGCATTTCTATGAAGAAAGCATGTTGATGTTGATGATTTTGAACCCCCATGTTCCTATAGTAGCCCAGGGGCTCCAGATACATCCTTTCGTGTTTTTTCCGCTTTTCGTAGCCACCATAGTTTCTCCTATACCCATGGAATGAGACTCTTTCAACTGTGCAACTAACAACCTCTGGCTTTTGTAAGTGAGATGTAACGTATGCATAATTCAGGGCCATAGTTTTGTTTAATAAGCATGTATGTCTTTAATCAAACAATTATTTGTCAAACTTGATTAAAATCTCTCTTTTGATGGAGTTACATTTAACATATCAACTTTCTCAAAGACTGGGTAAAGCTCTATCATGTAGTAACTCAGCCCCTGTTTACTTGCTTTAATTTGCCTCAATATTTGCCGGTTTTTATGCAATCACTGTGGCACTATTCGACTCTCATTAAGCTACACTGACATGCAAACAGTCTTGTAAACCCAGTGATATTTTAAACTGCATCCATGTTCTCTACAGGAGTTGGCTCTGTATATCTCCAGTAATGTGCAACCTCTATGCATTGGCTGTATGAGTGGAGAGCGGGCCGTCACTTTGTCTTAAACAGATCTCTGATACATTATTAATAACCTGACAAACTACTGGGTGGCCTGAAGCAATACATCAAAATCTGTGCTAAGCCAAACACAAACCACACAAAGAGTGAAGCTGAATGGAAATGTACGTGTGTGCCGCCTTGTATTAATGACATTGAGGGGACAGACACTGTTCACATAGTCACATTATGGGGACTCACCTCCCAGACGGTGACAAAAAACAAAACCTTTAGGAGGAACTTTAAACAGCTAAAGGTTACTTGAGGAAACCTGTAATAACAGAAAAGTCTTCCTGGAGGAACCTTTAGTAAAAGAGGATCTTTTTTAATGTATTTTATATTAAATGGTGTCACTGTACTGTTCACATGTACTAGGAACTTCCAGCTCTCAAATCATCACTGACCTTTAAACCATGAAATTATTTTAATAGAATTTAAGGGAAACGTCTGTATGGATACATGAGTGTCCTAGCAGGCACATACCAGTCCCTCCAGGACTTTTGGGGGGATTGTTGTGGCCTAAAATGTCTGTTTTCAAAAAAACATGCAAATGCAATGCATGTTGTGATGTTTTTAGGCATTTTGTATAATTCATTAAAAATCAAAGCCAACTTGTTCCAGTGAGAATAAAATCGCTCTGTTTGGACAGGGTAACTGTGAGACATTGGTGTCATAACAGGAGTGATGAGTAACAGGGTTTGGTGACGGTTAATTGGTAAAATTTGCGGAAACATTGTGGTGATTGGACACAATTGCGATTGCAACATTACATCTTCCTGGAGGGACTTACACATGTATATATATTTACACATATATGTATATATACATAAAAAAAAAAATCACATTTAGTCTAAAATTGTTAAAATTGTAATGTAACTTTTCAGATTACAATTTTCATCCCCTTCCTGTCTATTGAAAAACTATCTCCAGATGTGTTGGATTTGAATGTTTGTGATAAAGTAAAAGATGAAGTGTTCCTTTATTGGTTAAGTACATTCTCCTAATTAAGCTAAATAAACAAAACTGTCTTGGATTAGCTGGAAAATGTGTCTTCACAAACATATGATGATCTAATACAACAAGATGCATTACTGTAGATTAAACTATCCAACCATATATATAGTGGTTAAAATGAGCTCAACCATAAACATCTACAGCAGTTATTGCAACACACACAGCAGTAATATTAATCCAAAAACATCAGATATAATAGTAAAACACTGACAGGGACCATTTTACTGCACTATGAGCTGCCACTGAATTAATGTATTCTAATTTTGCAGAGCCGTCCAACAGTGTCTATTATGTGTGTGAGATAAATTTACTTGAGATTTTTTCATTATTATTTGATGTAATGGCTGGAATTCTGATCATACAAAGAATAATTTTAGACTGTATGATGCTCAAAAAAATATATGTCGTTTTCCAGCCGTCTCTTTTGTAATCATTTGCAAACATAAGGTAGTAAATCTTTTGTGGTAAGTGGACATCTCATGAAGTGTAATTCCGACTGATACAGATGGGTGACAACTTTCTCCAAGTTTCTGGAATTCTCTCATTTTGTGTTTTGATGACGGTGGTAGAGAGCACTGTGTAACACCAGAATCTCCCACGGTGTGCTAGCACATAGATGATTCACATCATTTTTATCAAATCATTCAGTGACCTGTATAGAAGCAGCTGCCTTTATTATGTTTCTCCAGTCATTCTTTCAGGTTCTTCCTTTAATTTGCCTGCCATTTGAACAAAGTGTCAAGTTCTGCAAGTCATTACACATTCTTCTCAACCACACTCAGTGTTCTATAATATGCAATCCTGTCTCCTAGAAATTACATCTATATAGTTAAGTGTTCCATTTAACGTTGACAATACACATTCTTATGAAAATGTTTTATTCCTGTTTTACTGAATCTGTCCTCACATTCTCTTTCGTTAACTGGTATGGGTTTCTTGCATTCAAAAACAGGAATAGAATACAGGGAATTGTCAAAGTGTGACAGTCATTGTAACAGTGACAAGGACAAATGAGAAAAAATACACAAAGAATACATACAAGGTTCTGAGGCATGAGCAGCAGTGATTGATAACACTGCCCACTGCTTTATGTGCAACAGTCAGTGACTCCATACTTTGCAGCTTTAATGAGACTATTTTATTCATTATTTCAAATTAATTTAAATAGAGTGAATAGGATTTAAATTTTAATAAATGGCCCTTGAGTGCAGTGCTGCAGTCACAGTCAGGACACACACACACACACACACACACACACACACACACACACACACACACACACACACAGAGAGAGAGAGAGAGAGAGAGAGAGAGAGAGAGAGAGAGAGAGTGAAGCAGAGAGCCTGGTCATTTAGTCAGGCTGTCAGTGACACCTGCTGGTTGACAGAAGCACATAGCTATCAGTCTCATGAATCAGCCTTTCATTCATTTATTTCAGTTAATAACAACTATATTTCTGTCTGACTGTCAAATAAATATTATCATCAAGTGTTACTTACTGTTGCCCTTTATGTCATCTTTATTAAACAGCAAAGAAAACCTGCATTTCAAGTCACAGTGGCTCAATGTATATGAAACAAATTATTACCTTTTTTTTGTCTCAAAGATTTTTAACCAGCAAAATACAGTGAATCAAAATCAGAATGTGACAACATTAGGTTTGCATTGAGACAGTTTGCTCATGTGATAGAGAAAACAGTGATTGCTTGAAGCTTGTTTAAGTTAAGTTAACTGGACACAAATAGATTCAGGATTAATTCCATTTATTGAAACATAATCTTGTTTTCATTAAATCAGCCACAGCCATGCAAAAGTCTAATATATGACCATATATTAAATTACATATAAAGTGTCAATTTATGTCCACAGGTCACATATATTTACATACAACCAATATATTTCTAAATATGTCTGTTTTCATAAATGTTCATATATTTTTTCATTTTTCAAATATACACACACATATATAATATATAAGGGTTTGTGACATAAAGGCTGAAATATGAGGTAAGAATATATTGTTTTATAGACCTTTTTCACAGCAGCTCTTCGGTTTCATTTATGTCAAACAGTCAGGATGCAGCTATTGTGCATGTTGGCTCACTAGAAAGATTACACTAAATGGAACAGAACCTTAATTAGTGTCACTAGTAACGTCTGTGTTCAAACACTGAAGATTGCTCTTTCCCTTTACTCCATATTAAATTCATAAATGCATTTTGTTTGTTTCATTCACAGTAGAGCTGGGTTCAATCTCAACCTGTGGTCCTACGCTGCATGGTCCCCCTTCTCTTTCCCCTGTTCCTGTCTATGTTCACCTGTCCTCACAAAATAAAAGCTTTATCCACCTGCAATAGTCAAAGTTGCTTATTGTGTGTTATTTGTAATTATAATTACAATTAATTATTGTAATTAGAATTACAATTACAATTAAACTTCTTGGAAATTTCAGGGTAATTATATACAGATAATATCCGTGCTGCAAACATTCAGAGAGTTTATCATATCTGTCGAGTACAATATTATAGGGACTTCTTCAGTTGGTTTAACCCACATCTGGGAGGAAATGCTTGGGATTCTTAGCAATACTAACACTAACTGGCGCATGGCCTCAAACCATTAGGGCCCCTGAAGGCAGGTTCACTGTTTGGCGATTAGTTCCTAGTAATTGAATTAATGCTAATTAGGTTCATAATACTGTGTGCACCATTACAGCTCACTGTAAACTGAAAGGATGGGAGCCTTTAAAAGGCATCACCTGTATTATGTTGAAGCCTCTGTCTTATACGGGTGCCCTGTGGTAAAATCTAGTGTAAGGCCTTTATTATTTCAGTATATATTCTGAGTATACTGAGCATTTTACTAAATAAACGCGTCACGAACATATAACAGATTTTTTGTGGGTTGATCCGACCCTGCAAGTAAAACTCAGGACAAACCTCTGTTGGCTGTACTGCGTGTGTAACACATACAGCTCAGACTGACAAAGCTTTCAAGACAAAATGATTCTGTTACCACCAGTGCCTGAATTGGATCAAAAAAGGTGTCAGTGCCCTAATTCAGCATAACCCTGACAACATGTCGCCCAGTGCTTGCTCCTGGTGGTACTGTTGGGTCTCTGCAAATAATTCTATAAGGAGTTCGGTCTAGACCTGCTCTATTTGAAAAGTGTCCTGAGATAACTTTTGTTATGAATTGGTGCTATACACATAAAACTGAAATGAACTGAATTGAACCTAACCCTAACCTTAAATCTGTTGGCCTTTTTAAAAAAATCCATTTTACTGAGGACATCTTCAGCACTGATTTCTCAACGTTAAGCTAGTTATGTGTTTACACCATTGACAGTATATATAATGGACAGAGCTTTTGGGTCAGTGAAATGAAGCTGACGTGTGTCTTAAACTTGCATTCTATGTAACGGCCAGCAGGGGGCAGCTCCATTGGCTGCAATAAAACACAGCTACCATGCTCTGACCAACTGTCATGGTGACGACCATAATGCCAAACTCAAGGCTTCAAAACTACTCCACAAACCAATGGGTGACATCACGGTAGGCTCCCACTTGGTTTATGCAGGAGCGCAATTATGCAGCCATCGCTTTTTTCCCAGCCCTACTCTTCTAACACTAGTCTATCATGTTCAATCAATCAGTGTTTAGGGGTGTGTAAGAAGTAAGTGTACTCAAGTACCTGTGAGTACTGGTCCATTTCAGGCACTGTTTGCCACACTAAAGCTTGCACTAGTAAAGATTTAAGAATGATAGGTGTATTGTTGGCTGCTTCAATCTTAACACACTGAACTGCGCCTGCTGTGAGTCATTAAAAGTCAGGAAAAATACATATTTCATTGTCTGAAGTGTAACTGAGGAAGGGGCATCTCTTCACTGCTGTTTCTCTCTCACTGTTTCTCCTCCCTACAGTCCCTTTTCCTCTGTTTGCATCTGTTCCAATCTTTCCTTGAAATATAAACACACAATACATATTGCATGAGCACAAACACACAGTTTTTAACAATGCCACTTTTCTTTTTCTTCCATTTTTTTTATATATATATGTATATACGCATATAGTGTATATACATTTAGTAAATATCCAGCATAGTCGTGTTACATAATCAAGAGGTTTGCATTTCTTTTCTGTCTTCCTTCTGTAATGTGAGTGTTGCTGTGCCGGTCTACAGGAGTTCAGTCTCCTTCAGAGTGGACTGGTGATCGGCAGTGTGGACATCGGTACTGTGTTTCCTTTCTAGTCATACGGAGGACAACACCTCCCCCGACACCTCCCTCTCCCTCTCTCGTTCCTTCCTCTCGGCTCTCTCCACATCCATAACAGTAAAGAGAGGCTCATGGGCTGTGACTGAGTCCTGCCGGTGTTTAGTGGCAGTGAAGGGAGTCTTGATGAAGGCCTCAGAGTAACGTCTCTTCAGCTCTGGGTCCGGACAGAACAGGTATACATACAGGGCTGCAGCCAGAGCCCCACCCAGAGTTGGACCCACCCAGTACACCTAACATGCAGGAAACACACAGAACACTTTAAAACACAACAGCAGCTTGAAATGGTGTGTAAGTTGTCTTTATTATGATTTATCCCTACTGTGTATACCCAAATCTATGCCTAGGCCGTATATACAGTGCCAGTGGACTCTGTGCCACTTCAAATCATACTGTCAAGACACCATAGGCCCACAAACTACAACCGAGCAACAGCAGTGACATCTAATTCAACCACAGCCAGGGAGTGACTCCCCTGTTTATGATGCCATACCTGGCCAGGTACACCACAACTGTGAGGGTACAGGAAAGGAAACAGACAGAGTCTTACTTTGAAGACCATGTGACACTAGACGGTGCAGTGTGAAAATGATGGAAAGAGCAGAAAGAATATCAAAGCTTCTTGGTCTGTGTATGTTTTGGTCATTGGATTTTCCTTTCAGAAACGGGCATTAAAAACAGAAAACGAGTGGTTATTTGATTTTCATTTTAAAATACAAAAATTAAAATTGAAATACAAGGCGTTTTTCAAAGGGATGAGCGAAATATAAAAAATTATTCGATTTTCATTTTCTATTTCATATAACAAAAAATAAAATCACTAGAAAACAGAAACAGAAAAAAGGCCTGTTTTTTCATATTCTGAGACCGGATGTTGTCATTTACAGGACGGTGCTGTGTAGAAGAAACAGTAGGCTAGTAGACTGCGGTCAATCCAGCCGTGAGTCCGATCTCCGTGGTCAAATCAGCCGCACTTAAATTTAGAGTGTACAAGTATTCTCAGCATTATGGTAAATGCGGAGAAACAGCGTATTTACTTCCGGTTTTCAAAATAAAGGTATTTAGAGCCGTAAGCTATAATTAAAATATGTTACATTAAAGTGTTTCATGCGCCCCTGATGAATAAAAAAACACTTTATATCAAGTATCTTTACTGCACCAGTGTGGAGAAATGCCAAAATAAAAGCCTCATATTTATGCCTCCAGAGATTGCATATTTGACCATATTTGAGGTACTGTAAAAACATATTGCTCAGTGTTTCCTGGCTACTGATGGTATATTTGACTTTTACACATATGAGACTACAAACATACTTAATATCAAGCATTTTTACTGTACCAATTTGGAGAAATTCAACAATGAAAGTCCCATATTTGTACCTCCATGTGGCATATTTTCATATATTTGAGCTACTGTAAAAACATATCAGTAGCCAGGAAACAATTATAGCTTACGGCTCTAAATACCTTTATTTTGAAAACCGGAAGTAAATACGCTGTTCCTCCGCATTTACCATAATGCTGAGAATACTTGTACACCCGAAATTTAAGTGCGGCTGATTTGACCACGGAGATCGGACTCACGGCTGGATTGACCGCAGTCTACTAGCCTACTGTTTCTTCTCCACAGCACCGTCCTGTAAATGACAACATCCGGTCTCAGAATATGAAACAACAGGCCTTTTTTCCGTTTCTGTTTTCTAGTGATTTTATTTTTTGTTATATGAAATAGAAAATGAAAATCGAATAATTTTTTAATTTCGCTCATCCCTTTTTGATCATGAAAAAGAAAAACGCCTTGTATTTCAATTTTAATTTTTGTATTTTAAAACGAAAATCAAATAACCACTCGTTTTCTGTTTTTTAATACCTGTTTCTGAAAGGAAAATCCAATGACCAAAACATACACAGACCCTTCTCCAAGGAGATGAGACTACTACAATCCCTGAGATCTAAATTGAAACAAGAAATGACATCAAAGCTGAGAGAACCCAAAGAAACACAATATAATGAGACATTGGGATACCAGTGCTGAGGAGAGGCTAGTCGGTTCAGAGATTTTGTGCTGGTTGTTGAATATGCCTTAAAGAGAACTCTGACTGTCTGCTTTGTTATTGGGGAAAAACTGAAACTCTGAAGGCTGTTCAACCAAGAAAGAACACAACTGAGACACAAAAAGTTGATATTAGAGCAAAAACGGCAAATGACATTCAATGACAATGACAGAATGAGCTGTAAAAACAGCACTATGTAAGGTATATTTCCTGCTAAGAGTAGTATGTAAAAACTTAATGGGACCTTGGAAGTTGGATCCAAAAGTTTAGTTTCTGTGTATTGTAAAAAAACAATCTTTGCATAGCTATACGCAAAACGTTCTCACTCAATTCAACTTGTCTTACTATACTGCTACACTACTGCTGCTTGGGCAGTTGCCTTACGTTTCAAAATATGACTTTGACGGCAGGCTATACAGCTAGAGGGATACCTACAGTCATATTTTGAAGCCGGGCCACCGACGAGCTGCAGTATTTGACAATTTAGGAATTAATGTGTGTATATTGATTGATCAAATATAATAAAAGCTTATAAAGTTACCCAGTGGTTTTCCCAGCTCCATGTGATCACAGCTGGGCCAAATGATCTGGCAGGGTTCATACTGGCTCCAGTGTACGGAATCTGAGGGAACAATCACAACCAACGGTATAACGACCTGATCACAAGAAGCATAGAAGAATTACTCTGTGACATTCAATAAACAGTAGAATTTAATCCTCAATCAAAATCAATCAATAAATAATTGTAATAGCCTTCCAAATGGTTTAAATGCATTTTCAGGTCTAATGCACCCATTAGTAGGATGACATCATTGGTCAGTGCCTTCCCAAATCATTATAAATCACTTTCCCCAAAGGAATTCTCAAATGACCCTTCCCCCTTTTTCTCTGTGCTCCAATAAGAGTTGAACAAGCCTCGGTCAGAACGTCGTCAACTCTTCGCCTTTCTTTCTTAAGACTCGTCTATGTTGAAAATACAGCCACATTTTTACGTTGATAAAATAAACGCAACATTTATATAGTCACATCTTAAGTTAGCTAATGTTAGCTAACTAATGATAGATGTAAATGAGCTAGCTAGCGTTTTCCTAAAATTAGCTTTCAGATGTAATGGAAATGTAATGTATGTTTCTGTTCTAGAAGCGCCGCAGAGAGTGGCAGCTTGACACAACAGCTCCCGCTCACCCTCTAATCTTACTACTTCTTTATTCCTTCTTAAACAGCACTGTGTTCATTGTTGTAAACAGACCTCCAGTGTTGGTTGTTATTTTTTTTACTTTTTTAGCCATAGTTGAACTTAAGTTTTTTTAAATATAAACAATGTGTAGGAATGTGGACACAACAACCACCACACAACAAAACCGGAGTGAGGTTGTGAGGACTTCCTACGGTATCGGGATTTACGTGTCGCATGCCCGAGGGAGATCCCGGTGGAGTTAAAGAGACGAAGGAGAGGAACCAGAGCAGGCACGTTGGTGAGGACCACGAAGACAGAGAAGCGGTGGAGATACAAATGCTGTACTTGTATAGCGCCTTTCTAGTCTTCCAACCACTCAAAGCGCTTTTACACTACGTGCCACATTCACCCTTTCACACACATTCACTCAGTGATGGTAAAGTCCACTGAACAGAAACTAACATTCATACACATTCACACACCGATGCACGGCATCGGGAGCAATTCGGGGTTAAGTATCTTGCTCAAGGATACTTCGACATGTGGCACCAGGAGCCGGGGATCGAACCCACAACCTTCCTCTGAGCCACAAGCCATGTCTTCCCTTGGTTGTCATGGGAAATGTACGCTCGCTGAACAACAAGACGGACGAGCTCTTGGCCCTGGTCAACGGACAGTGAGAGTATCGGGAGTGCAGCATATTATGTCTGAAGGAGACATGGCTGAAGGACATTACACCAGACTGTTCAGTGGAACTGGCCGGTTTTTCACTAGTTGGGGCAGACAGGAAGAAACAGAGCGGTAAAAAGTCGTGAGGAGGGCTCGCTGTCTTTGTGAACTCTAAATGGTGTAACCCTGGACATGCTGTCAAGAAGGCAGAAATCTGCACGCCTGACATTGAACTGGCCATAGGGTTAAGGCCATACTATCTGCCCCGTGAGTTTACGGCCACTATTATTGTCACTGTTTACATTCCTCCATCGGCAGTAGCGGCGCACACTGTGACGTCATCCACTCCACCGTAGCAGACCTGCAGACACGTCATCCCAGGGAAGCTGAAAGCCATCATGGACAACCCCTGTCATCCTCTCCACGCTGAGCTGAGGCAGCTCAGGAGCATCTTCAGCTACAGACTGACCCAGCCCCGAGCCTCAAAGCGGTTTGGAGGCTCATTTGTACCATCTGCCATCAGACTCCACAACGCCACAGCTCCCAGTTCCTCCAACCCCAGCTGATAAAGACTGGTTTAGAACTCCTACCTACAACGCACAAACCATTTGCACTATTTATATTTAATTTCCACTTCAGTAGTTTGGTAGTATTAGTTTAGCTTTAGTTTTTTTAGTTTGAGTCAAGTTTAATTTTCTGCTCATATTTTGGACTCCATGTCCTACTTGAACAACAAATAGTGTATATACTTAATTTATAGTTTTTATATCTTCTAATATTAATAATATTAGCAATATTTTTACTGTGATATTCTATTCTATTTCTATTCTATTCCTAGTTTTCTGTTTTTGCGCTGCTTTGCTCTATTGCTGCTGTGTCAAAATGAATTTCTCCTTAGGGGGATAAATAAAGGAATTATCTAATTATCTCACTAGCTAGCTTATGATTGATGTAGATTAGTGTTTTGCTAACATTAGCTTGCTTAGGATGTGACTACATATAACTTGCCTCAACCATACAGATAAAACTTTCTCTCTCTCCCCTCTCTAATCTCAACTGGTCAAGGCAGACGGCTGGCCATCTAGCCTGCTTGAGAATGCTGCCTGTTAAAAGGAAGTTTTTCCTTGCTGCTGTCGCCACGTGCTCGCTCGTGGTGGGAACTGTTTGGTCTCTGTAAATAATTTTATAATATTTTATATTTCTGTGTATACATTTATAGTAACAGCTCAAGTGTTGGGTACTTACAGCAAACAAGTGACCAACACACACAGACAGGCCGATAGCCAAAGCAGATGACCCCTTCAGGTCATTACGTTTGTGGTCACAGGTAGCAAACACAGTGAAGACCAGCTGAAAGGTGATGAAAAGTTCTATGACCAGAGCGTTTCCTTCCGAGATGCTTGTATTTACCTGGGTTAGAAACATCATGAGATATTTGTACGCCTTTTATATCTTGTATTAAAATGTGATCAGTATCTGGATTTACTGCACAATAAGATTGTTAGTAATTAGCTTTTTAAAAATAAAGACAAACCGTTGTGACCCCCATGCCTCCCCTGACAGAGGCTGGGGTGACCCCAAAGAGAATAGCAGCCCCCACTATGGCTCCTACACACTGGGCCAGCAGGTAGAAGACCGCTTTAGCCAGGCTGAGCTTCCTGGTCACCACCATGGCTGCCGTGACTGCCGGGTTGATATGAGCACCGCTGATGTGGCCGAAGCACTGCACCATTGTGGCAATACTCAGGCCAAAGCAGAGCGAGATGAGCACCAGGTCAGGGGGTTGGGGATCCTGACTAACAGCCCCCCAATTGATGGTTGAGCCGAGGCTGAGCAGGACGAAGAGCAGCATGGCGAAGAACTCGGCCCCCACACAGCGCCAGAACTCCTTAGTCCAGATGCCCTTGAAGGCAGTCATGGCTTCGTCTTGGGTGAAGCAAGATGGAGGCCAGAACTGACAGTGTGGTGTGTGGCAGCGGAAGCAACACTTCCTGGAGGGGGTGAGAGGAATGCCAAAATTCATTTAAAAATAATAATTAAAAAAAAAAAAAAAGAATTATGAGAAGGGGTTTCAATTAAGAAATAACTAATAATACTTTCAGTTAAGTTTGAAAGAGCAGAAAACTGCAGTTCCTCTAATGGCCACTTGAGGCTGGCTCCAGCAGTGAATCAATCTCTCATGCTTAAAGTTATGCATAATTAAGGTCATTCGAGTGACAGGTGAGTTTCTGTTTTTAGTAACTGGGCTTCATTCAGTCCACCTTGTTGTAATGGGAAAAAAATCACAATTAAAATTCTACAATCGTTCAATCAATATGCAGATTCCATGAATAGTTCATTCTGTGCTGTTAATACAGTAACATTATGTTGGTGTGCTGGTTCCCAACCCCAACAAGGTGATAGTTTCACAGCCTCATGGAGGCAAAGGCTTTCTTGATTTTAAGTGGTGTAAGAAAACTATACAGAAGGCCTATATCTCAGCATTTCATTCATTTCTGTGAAGAGAAAATTTTATTTTTAAGGGTGAAGGGTGAAGGGGGAGGATAAATCAGTGACCTGTGAGCTGGAGGACAAAAAACTCACATGGAAGAGAACAGCTAGAGGAGAGAGAGTAGTTAAATGGACAAAAACACTGGGAAGTATAATAGTTCCTGGGTATAGTTGCTCTAAAAAGAAAACATATATGACATATATAAAAGTAAAGAGTGGCAGGTTGTTAACTGGACAACAAAGCTGGAAATAAGATGATCCATAGAATTGGATTTTTCAAGAAGATAAGTGCAGATTATAGTGGTTTCTTTGTCCTTTGATTCAACTGGCAACACTGTCATACCATCACAAGTTCAAGAATTTCATACAATAACTTTGTGGGCCTCTTGTCACTTTTGGAGTGCATGCATGGGAGCACAAGCACAATGCTACTGTTACACTGTTTTTAGGCTTTTGTGTACTCCAAGTAGTAATAAAGACTGTATTACTACCAGGAGTACTTGTTATAGCAAGTGCTCTACGGCAACACTGGGGAGACATACCCAAAAGAATGGCCTGATGCCCAAAAAAACTCTCTCTCTCTCTCTCTCTCCTCTGTACACATCAGCACATGCCAATTGCGCTACAACTACATTATAGAAAAGTACCAGCAACAATTTGCACCATGTACCACAAATAAATCTATAAAACCAAAGCAAAAATAATTATTTGTAGAAGAGAGAGTTGTTTCAGAGCTTGGGCAGACCTTATTTAAAACGCCGCTCACATCGACGGCCTTTCTGTGACGCAAACAGGTTAATCACCATGTCAAACTCCACCCTGCTGTACCTCACCATCAGCTCACCTTTCAGTTTCCCCCTGCAGATCATTGGGTAATGTGCACATGCAAAGACAACAAGTGCCTGGCTTTCTCAAAGCGCACTGTGCGGCTACTGACACATTATCAGAGCGCCGCATCCTGCGCGGCGTTACAGCGGCTGCAGCGGCTGCAGCTGTGTCCACATCTGGATGTGGCTGATTGTCATCTGTGGTCAGCAGTTCAGATATGAAGCACGAAACATTGTCCAGGCCCTGTCTCGTTCTGAGAGAATCTGTGGTCTTAGACGTGTACTTTGCAACCTGTGTGTTTGACAGGTGATCGGCTGATCCACAGTCCGTGATAGTGAATGTCTGTGTTTCTTTACCAGCTCGTTGTGTCTCTGTACAGCGGTGCGGTGACCCTCATTAAGCTGACAGATGTTCACTTTACCCAGCAATCACAACTCTACACTATTTCCAATGTGGCTCGTGCTGCATTCACGTTTCCTAATTTTGTCGGATAAATATTTTAAATCTACAATTCCTTGTTGGGTCCAAGCCGTGTCTCCTCCAAACAGCAAACATGGAAACAGAGAAGTGAATTCCTAGCTACACTTGCTGTTAGCCAGTCCGTTCGCTGAAACCATGTAACACAAAACTACGATTTTGTCGTTTGTCCTTTTGTGTTATTTGAACATCGTTTGGATGATGTGTCCCCAATCTCTGTATTTCCATTTTTTCCTCCAAAGACTTTAAAGAAAATTGATTAGAAAGTAAATAATCCACCTCGTTCATGTTCATGCTAACGCCCGCCATACTACGAACTAGCCTCACTGTACTGTAGCTACTGCGCTGTGATTGGTCGAAGGTCACTGTACTGTAGCTACTGCACTTTGATTGGTCGAAGGTCACTGTACTGTAGCTACTGCGCTGTGATTGGTTGAAGTTAATACATTATTAATTTGTTTATTCCTTAACTTTTCTTTGCATTTGCCCTTTAGTATTTTATATCATCCGTTTTTATTTTCTAAATGTATTTATAAATCAATTAATATGCTCTTTAGAGTAGGGATGTGAATCCCCACCACTGAGGCCGATTCGATACACATCTCGATACGCTGCCAGCGATACGATACATTAACGATACAGTGGAGCCCCCTGCCCATACGATGCGATACGATTCACCTCTGTTCATGATGCGATGTGATTCATTAATGATTTGACAACGATTTGACTTTATACAATGCGATTCGGTTCGATACGATTCATGATGCGATTCAAAACGATTCAACACAATACAAAGAATTTACAAGCCCACATCTGGTTTCTAATGTATTTGATACTTGATTGTTTTCTATAAAGCAAACCAATAAATCCAACTTAAAAAGAAGGTGCAATTCAATATGGTACAGACAGAGGATTGTTTTATTCCTAATAAACACTAAATCATAAACAAAAAATATTTTTTTCATTACATGTGTTTTTAATCTCATTCTCTACTTATACAACACTAAATGTATTGTATTCAGGCAATTTCTTTTTGGCCTCTTCATAAAAAAAAACAAGCTTTTCTCAGGTCCTTTTACTAATAATGTTCTCTGTCTGTAATTTTACAATGTTTTACAAAACACTTCCCAACATCAACAATGTGCATTGTGCAAATAACTTCATCATAGTGCAATGTCCATACTACTGCTGCCAGACTGATGTGCTTGAGCTGACACTCTTCTAGTTGGCTAACTGAGCAATGAGAGCAGAAATCATTGAGATTTATTCAACAATATAACAGTTAAACAAACAAACAAAAATAAACAATTGCAACTGCTTACAAATGTAAGTGTAAAAAATTAAACTATTGACTGACAGCCACAGCAACTGGAAACATCACTCACACTGAGGTATATCAACTAGAGGTCTTTCTTTTCAAAGTCCACACTACTCCTGCACTATTGTGTGTCTTCCAAGGTACGCTTAATATCTCCTCTTCACCTGTTGTGTTGCTTCCCTCCATTTGTTCTGTTTACTAACAAACTGCTCCTGTGCTCCAAAAAGATAGTGATGGTGCGATCACGGCGCCTCGAAAACACGGGTGCAGAGGAGATAAACTATGTAATAATCGATGTAACCATGGGTTTTAACGATGCAGACACGCAAAGAAAGATACATTGCGCATTTAGCCGGCAGTTGTATCTGATGCACACTGAAGCTACCGGTGCACTCGCATCGCAAACGTCTGTCTCGGACCACCGATTCAAATCGGTGAATCTCTCCATCCCTACTTCAGAGCCCGACCAGTATTGGACATTTTGAGGCCATTTTTTAGCGGGAGAAAGTAGAGCTTTTCTATGTGGATTGTGCACTGATATTACAATGCAAAGGTAATCAGAAGGTTGTTTTCTTAAACAAATAGCTTAAAGAACGTTTAAAGGTCCAGTGTGTAACATTGAGGAGGATCTATTGTCAGAAATAGAATATCATATTCATAGCTATGTTTGTGATAAGAACCATTGTGTTTTCGTTACGTTAGATTGAACTGTTCTTATCTGCAGAGGGAGTGGGTCCTTGAACCCCCATGTTTCTACAGTATCCCACAAGGGACAAGCAAAACACTGGCTCTGGACAGGGGTGTTGATGTTTTTTGTGAGTTTCGCTTCTTCTCTCTAAATCTGTGCTGCTTGCCACAGTATTGAAAATCACAGCGCACTCTGCTGGATACATTTAGCACTGACACTTAAATACTACCACAAGCATTTCTTTCTGCAATATATAACGAGAAACGTTTTTCGTATCGGTTAACATATACACAGTTACAGTGATTATAAAACTACTAGCACTTGTCATAGTATCAGTAGGAGTACTAATAGCAGAAGAATTAATAGTAGAAAGAGTAGAAATAACAGCAGTAGTATCAATAGTACAGGTGGTCAGGTAACCCGTATTTTTAATATGAGGTCAGTACAAATCCAAAAGGTCCGATGAGGTCATCTTAAAGTCAGTAAGTATCCAAATAAGCATGTGGGTTATTATAAAATCCACTATATAGTTGTCCCTTTATAAATGCCATTATTGTATGACGAGGTTATTAATCAAAACTTTTATTATGTACTTAACTGAACTAAAATAAAATAAATATACAGAAAATACTAGTCAAATGTGTCACCTTGTCTTCCTGTTCCTGGTTGTGTGGCTTTTCTTGTTTTTCTGTGCAGGTACTTTAAGTGGGCGTGGCAGAGGGTCGTCGGCACATTATACACACCTGAGGCCTGTGTGCCATGCGCCTTTAAAAAAATCTGGGAGCTCAGTACTCTCTCTCTCTCTCTCTCTCTCTCTCTCGCTCTCCCCCTCCCTGAGAAAACTATCTGGTTTTTGGGTTTGATGGTTTGATGGTGTTGCTGCATCTTATTACAACACAGCACTCATACACTTCTCCACTAAGGGCAACAGAGTTAGTGTCACAAGAGCAGTAGTACTGGGGTAACACTTGCAGTAGCAGTGACTGCTGGCTAGTTTACTAAATGCTCTCTGATCAGTGTTTAGGTGCTGGAAGAAGGTGCTGCAGCCTTCTCAGCACCCCCTAAAATCTGGCATAATGAAAACCATTATTTTATAAAAATGTAAAAAATTATAATTACCGTACTTTCTCCTTTTTCTAAAACAAAGATGTACATGTGTAAACTGGTATTTCTGGTATGGTATAAAAAGAGATTTTGTCCAGTAAAAAGTGAGAAAAGTGTAAAATGCTAACAACTATTAAATACCCTGTAATGCGTAATTTATTTTAATTCAAAACAAGTTTGTCAAAATTGATTTTAAATAACACAAACTTAAGTTAGTTAAGTTAAAACATTATTGATTAAGAATCTTTCACTAGTACATTTTACAAGGTATTCTGTTTTCACAGCACAAATAAAAATTACAAAATTAAGTCAGTGTCACTGAGTTACTAAAGCTACTTGATGAAGAATGTTTTTAAATTCACAAAATTGATTTTGTTTAATAAATTAAATAATGTTAAATAATTCAAATTAATGCAAAAACCATAAATGTCAAGCAATAGCATTTAGTACAACATCATTATGTAGACAGACTTTTTCTCTCCCCTGCTCTGGCTGACCTCCAGCGTCCCTGGGTCAGTGATCACTTTACGGAATTGTATTTTCCTTCATCCACACTTCTAAACTCCACCGCCAATGTTAATTAAGTAAATAATTCCAGAAGAACAAACAATAGATTGATCCATCGCACAGCAACAATTCATTGTCAAATATACAGCCCATTCGTTACATTAACAAAAAAAAAAAAAAAAGCGAACCCATCTTTCCTGCCGTGCTGTAAACTGGCCAGCTCCTGTGCGTCTTTACGCGTCTACTCACCTCAGGCGCTCCAGAGCCCCGCCGCTCTCCGTCATGACTCCAGCAGCCCGCTGGATGTTTCTGTCTTTTATAGCGGGGCTCTGTGCGTGTGCGCGCCTTGTTTGTGTAAGGTTAGTTTCTGGTTTATGCTGGTCTGACCTGGATGGGATCGGATGAGTGAAAAATAAAAACAACTCAGGTCATGGATCATAATAATATGATCGTAGAGCACTTTAACAGTTTTATTATTGGAGCTTTTCTTTTGTTGTTGCAGATTTTATTTTATTTTTTAAACTAGTTTTTAATTTTTGAGACTTTAAAATAGACACAATGCAATGCAATATACGGCACATTAGGCAAACAGGATAAACAACACAATAACGGGATAAAAATAATTTCAAGGATTCATTTCATTGTATTGTCAATGACAACAAGTTTGTAGAAGGAAGTTTAGCTATAATTCCTACTTTAAAAAAACCTAAAACAAAAAATAAAATAAAATGTACTATGAATTGTTGAGGGGGAATTTAACAGTAACACTTTATAATAACCATTATTAATAAATTGTAAATTGATCGTTACTAAAACTCAGTTAATTCACTGTTAACAATGAAATAGTAGTTCATATATTTTTACTAATTATTAGTAATGCTATAAAACTTACTAATAATAACCATCCAAATAATGTTTATAGACGGTTTACAAACTAATGTCCCAAACTTCTTGGAAAGGACAGTAATTATTATTCTATCATTAATATTAACCATTAACAGTATTAGAAATATTTGCTCCATCTATCTGTATAGATCTTTTACAAACGATGTATTAACGGTTTACAAATCATTTACATACATGCTTAACAAAGTATATAAAATGTTGTAATGTTAGCAATAATAAACTGTTAATAGTTTAGTAATCACAATGTAATTGTTATCATCTCTCTTCAAGTTGGGAGGGTTACCTTAAAAATGTAATCCGATACAGTTACTAATTTCCTGCTTAAAATGTAGTCAGTAACCTAATCCAGGTATCACAAAATTAAACTTTCTTTTACCTTTGGATTACCTCAACACCAAATATGTAAATAAAGACAAGAGGACAGAATCAATAAGAAGTAAGACAACAGAACAATGTAACCTTTGGAAAGAAAATGGAAACCAAGATTTTAAACATCCAAAAACGTGTCCTGTATTGTATTGTAATGTATTTTTAATGACAAACTGATATATTTTAAAGTCCTGCTAATAATCCCCATATTAACTAAATGTAACTGTAATGGATTACAGTTACCTTCTTTTTGTATCATGATTACATGATTACATGCCTGCTTATCAGCTGATAAGATAGATTATTCATAAACTTTTATATGACATAAGCTAATGATAAAGTAACATCAATTATAGCAACCTAGGGGTCACCAAAGCTTCTTGGGGGTAGTGAGGCCTTCTTGATTTTAAGCAATGTATTAAAACTAAATTCAAGTATACAAAGTAAGCCTATATCCCAGCATTTTGTTCACTTCTGTGAAGAGAAGTAAAAGTAAAGTAAATTGTCTCATAGAACGGTCTAGAACTAGAAAGGCCAAGTGTTAGGGACAAGGAGATACTGAACTACTGAAATACTGACTAATTAAGTCTGTATGATTGTTAAAAATGATTTACATAATTTACTATTTTTTATACTATTTTTATTTACATAAAATACATAATACAGACAATTGTATAAAAAGTTCCCTAGCTAACAGGAAATAATCTGCTCAAAGTTTATCCAAATCACATCAGATCAGTTTAGCGCAAACTTCTTGTAGTTACTGAGTTCATGATTTGGGTTCATTGTACAGTTGTGAATATAACACGAAATATCCATAAAATATGTCACTTAGTCAGTTTACTATATGGTAGAAACAGGGATCGCTAAAGGAAAAAGTTTGGGAACCACTGAATTATGTACTAATAATTAGTTATTATTTCATTGTTTGATAATGAACTAAAGTTTAACTAACTATAGAATTTACCATTTATTTAGGTTATATGGGCTATAGAGAACTTTCATAAAAGGATTTGCAGCGCCACAAAGGAAAAAAAACAGTTTGAGCAGTGTACAGGGAATCTATGGCACCACAGCAGCAGCTCAGCAGTGATACCATTACAGACAGCATACATTTCACTTTATTTGTCAGACATGGGTATTGTATAATTATATTGAATATTAATATAAAACACATGATAATGAGTGCTAGTGTTCATTGGAACGGCTGACTTTCATTCTCTCTTTATATGACACTAGAGGGCATGGCTGAAACAACTTCTTTGATTTTCCACATCTCTCCATGTTCTTTAGATTTTGTGAATAAATGCTCTGTTTTTTCCCCAAACATTTGTATTTATTGGTGTGATAACCGACTCATGCTAACTCTTAGTGTAATGCAGTCCATGATCGTTTCACAAATAAGTTATTGTGTAACAATTGTCACAAGCAGCAACTACAACAATCTATCAACTTAAAATGATGTACTATAATCAGGCAATTACAACTGAAACTAAGTATATTCAATTTTGATAATTTAATTTAATTTGCTAATATTTTTCCACCAAATTAGCTTTGGTTCTTGAACCAGTTCTGTTCAAGATTCACACCCACTTTGGTTCCCAAGAAAAACCTGCTATTTTTTGGTTCCAGCTGGGAACCAACTTTTCATGTTCTGAACCAATTTATTTTTGGTCTAAATGCTCAGAACGGTTCAAAACTAGATGCCTAAACCAGAACAGAGACAGTTTCCTGTGGAAAAGCCCTATTAGTGTTTCTAGCTCAGGAAGGGGTCTGTAGGGGTCCCCTGTTGTAAAACTGTCTTAGGACAAATCTCTTTGGCCCCCTTTCCACTAAATTAGCTCTGATTCTTGAAACGTTTCCATTCAACACTCTTGGAACCTTGCTGCTATCTAGCAAACCAGCCCATGTTTCCACTAGTTTTAGGTGGAACTATTGCAATAAGCAATCAACATAGGGTGCTGCACAATGACCTGTAGAATATGACACAGCCATTTTGGTTTCCAAGGAAAACAAACAATTCTTGGCTCCAGCTGGGAACTAACTTTTCAGGTTCAGAATTAATTTATTTTTGGTCGAGATGGTTCAAAACTAGGTGCCTCATCTGGAACGGAGCTGGTTCCCTGTTGGAGGAAAGACTTCCAAACTATTTGTGATGTCAAATCATGCTGGTAGGCCCCGCCCCTTAAAATCAACTTTTCAATGAGCACAGAGAAACTTTCCACTTTCAGCAGATGAATGTGAAAACATCCTTCTAGTGTCAAACTCTGCACAGACAGCATTCAAACATCACACTGTAGGAACAAGAAGAAATACTGATTTCTGACTGGAGTGGAAGTGATTCTGTGCAATCATGTTTTCATATTTTTCACATATTTTTTCTTTTGATAGTGCTTAAAAATGAATCTAAACTGGAATAAATTAGGTGATCCAATTCAGCAGAAATAAAAACACTGTTATATTCCCTTGATTTTCTGAAGGGATCCTATTTCTGGTTTATAAGTTCCACATTGTTCTTGTATTTGTTATGATGTGATAATGCTTTTATTGCGAAGGTCTTCACAAAATGTTGTTTTGAAAAGTGTTATAAAACTAAATCTTTCCTTATTTACTCACATGTGGAGCCAGCCCAATCATACAGACCACAATCTGCACTCAAAGAACTGCATTTACACAGTTATCAGAAGATTACAAACCAGCAAATACAACAGATTGTATGCCAGCAAGCCTTCTCTGCATGTTGTCACTGTTATTGTCTACTTGAGGAGCCTCAATCCCCCCACAGCAACCCCCCGAATCCCGATGGATAAATACTGACACACTGCTGAAACACAAAGCTGCCACTGTTTATGCTTCTTCATGCAAGCTGACAGAGCAGACCTCCCCCCGTCACGTCACACACACACGCCCACACATCATCGTATCTGTTATGTAAGTATTACACAATATGAGTGTATGGTATTGGCAGAAATGTGTGTGCGAGTTAATGAGAACACAAAATTAATTAGAAAATAAATAAATAAATAAATAAACTTGGGACAATGGGACCACTGTCCAAAACAAAGCAGAGGGTTATGTAACCTGACTGGTTGTTTTCTATTTTTATAATTTATCAGAAAACAGAAGCACCAAGCTTTTGTTTTAATTCATTTTGACAAGACATTAAAAAAACTATGATATTCTGTAATATCTACTGTATAAAAATGAGTGTAACAATGACCCAAATCTATATGAACCCTTTATAGGGCACTCAGAAATACTAATTTAAAATTTCAACGCTGGAGTGTTATTGGTGGATATAAGAAGACATTTTTTCTGTTTTGATTTTTTGAAAAAGTTCAGCTTTAGGCTGAAAATCAAAGTCAGTGATGTCTAGGTGGGCTGGCTCAACAACAATCTGTGGCACAACAGGCCTCCTCTTCCCATAGAAGGACTGAGCAGACAGCTGCTGCAAAAGAAAAATAATTTCAGTTATTTGTGAAAGAAAGCTGTAACAGTGAAGTGTATATTAGTATATCACCTATAAAGAAAATATGCCATAGAAGTGTAATTAAAACTGTCATAAGGAAGTGACCATATATGGATCCTCGCCCTAAAAAGGTTTAAAGGTTATGCTTCAAAACAATTTCTGCCACTAGGGGGTCTCTCACATCAAAACAATAATAAAAGAAGTTTGATGGCATTGTGATGTAGCGTGGGATCATGGGAGTTGTTGTCTTCACCACCATCACCGTCAGTCAGCTTCTCCCGGTCAGGATTCCTTCAGTGTTCATGGTTCAGGAGGTTTCTACCGGGAGCCCCATTATCCACAGGTCTCTTCATCTCCAAAACAAACAGACCCGCTGATTAAAACTGCTAACAACACAGAATAAAGCAGTTCCATCTTAAAAATCACTGCTTCTCCCAAGCTGCTGCTAACGTTAGCTCAGCTTGTTTCGCTGATAACTTAAGATCCAGACGTTGGATGACTAAAATCCTTCATGTGGTTCAAATCTAGAGTTAAAAAGATCTAAACAGTGGATGGTAACA